GCCAGGATTTTACATTGTTCTTTACAGCTAACAAGGACACAATGCAGAGTTTATATGAGAGAGTATACAATCCCAGCAACATCACTTTAGATAAGATACAGTTAGACTTTTTAAACTGCTGACACCCAGTAACACAAACCTGACTTTTTGGGGAAATCTTAAACCAGTTCTGCAACACCACAAGCTAATTTACTGCTTCTGTCTCAAAAATGAAAAACTCGATAGGATATGCAAAAAAAGATGTCATATTAAACAAGTTTAAGTGAGAAAGAGGAGTTCAATATATTTCATAATGTATGCTATATATTTGTAGTATTATAATTTCTCTTATGTGTTACTCTAGATTTACGTAATAGCTATTAAAAAAATGAAGCCGTAAAACTCTATAGTAAATCATTATTTTGTGTTTGAAGTCCATTTTACCAGCATTGGGCTCATGGCTGGTGCTTATTTCCAACCCTAATTACTATATGTGCAATTTTCTGAGTACATCAGTCGTATCATTATGGTCATTGCAGGACAACAGCAGAATCATATAGAAAAAGTATTTGAATTGGATTTGTATATAAGATTTTTCAAAATAATGCAGGTAAATTAAAAAAGATCCAGGCTAAAGATCAGACATTCATTATTTCAGTGATTTATCAGAAATGTTTGACAATATCAAAGTTCACATGGCTGGGTTGGGGGATGAGGATGGGAAATCTGCAGATATCTACAGCATCGTGTGTAATGTGTTTCTTGATTTCAGTATTTTCCCTTCTGTCTCACCAAGTTTGATAATTTTTTTCCCCTGATTCACCGTTCCCTCTGTGATAAAGATGTACAATTGATGTACAATACTGTGCGACATTTCTACAAGAGCACTGCATTTGTTAAACACATCTTTTAACATGTTTTATTATGTATCATTTAATGCCTTATTAATGTTTTATCTATATTAAATTAACTATGATAAATGAGTAACATTTTGACTCTAATGTTATCAAGATTCAAAGAGCAGCCTCTGCTAGAGATCATACTGCTCAAGGAACAGGAATCACGAAATCGAGGAAATCTATTCATCATTATACGACACAATTTCATTCCTCCAAAAAACATTCTAACATGTATAGAAATACATTTATATAACCTATAAATCAACAGTGTATAAATATTACCCTTGGAAGACGTTTTTTACGTGGTTAGTACTGCTCATACATACTGATGTCTAAGAGGTGCCACGAGGATTCAAGAGACAACAATAATGAAAGACTATACAACTTTGCCCTCTTTATATACTCTATCTGTCTAGTTTTGACTTGGACCGTCCCTGAATTGAGGACTCCTCAAACCTCGGGTGGAATGTAAAACAGGTGCTGCACAATTGGTTCCTCCACAGCGGGGGCGAAAGAAAAACAGCCGCCCCTGCAGGAACATGACTGACAGAACATCACATTCTCCAGCCAGCTGTGTCTCCAGATGATCCCTTATTTACACAGTCCGACTTAATGGATAACATACAGCATGCATACAATATATTATGCATTCTTATTCAACTGCAATGTCCCCTACATAAAGAAAAATCCCATATTGTATTATATTAGGGCAATATTAATTGTTCCTTGATAGCATATTTTCTGTTTTCTCTTGTAGATAAGTTTTTGTAGAACACATATATGTTTCTCATAAGATAAAAGATATGCTGATAAAAACGCATTAAACAATCTGGGCTGGTTCCTTGACACCTTGTGTGTTCTTCAAGTGGCGCTGTAACATCTGGCATGGATTTATACATTGAAATCCTGGCTGGGGATTCAAAGAGAAGAGTTTTTAATTGAATCCACTCCGAAGACTGTGAGACTGAAATGTCTTCTGGCAAGAACCTTCGAATGCATACTCATGTTGCTTTGTCATGTGACCTCTTCCACAGATTGAAATAGTTTTTTCCCCTCTTTTTAGGACTCCTGTGTCAAACTGACAGTCTTTTCAAGCTCTGAATTAAGTTCTTTTGTGCAGATAGTTTCAATAATCTAACATTGCCGTCAAAAGAAATCCCTTAATTCCCCAAATGAAAAAGGTATTTTATTGAAATCCTTCTCAGCATATACAGACCAGTTGTGTTTATGGTTAGTCCATGAACGTCTAATGCTGCCTCCCTTCCACCAATCCAGCCCTGACCATAGCAAATACCGGCTACCGCCACTAAACCTACTGCTGTGCAACAATACACACATTCACAGCCCATAGACAGCAAATTGCTTCTCTCATTCCCCACCACGCCCTGCCTTCGTTCTCAGCCACCTGCAAAACAAACTGTGCTGGAAATTTCACTACAAATTACCCTGTGTCTGCCAAATCCCCCCGGGAGCAGAGGAAATCAAAACCCTGGATCTCCCTGCCCCCACAGAAACAGACCTCAGCTTCTCTCTCACAGAAATCATGTATGATTGTATTTCTGTTTATAATCCTAACAATTATTATTTTTATTTTATATAAGAAGTGTGTATGAAAAACTTTGATATACTTTTTGTTGGGCTGCATTTTAAAGTTTCAATTCTTATCTATGAGTTTTCATTTTAAAGCATTAAAACTGGAGACAAGCTTAAAAAAAAACTACTGTTAACCTTTCACCAAAAACTTGATTTGAATGAAAGTGTCTGGAGGTGAAGAATCAAAACCATATGAAAGTTCCCACTTTACTTTTGTCAACACCAATTTGACAAACAACCCATACTTCTGTGGGTTTGAGGTCAACATGACATCGTGAAACTAAGCCTCCATTTGCACTAAGAAAGAGTGAAAACTGAGACCTGTTTCGCTTCAGGGGAAAATCAAAGGAAGGCACATACCTTAGCAGTGAATAATGATCAACAGCATAAACCCAACTGCATTTACACTTAAGGGCCACAGTGCCTCCTGGTGCCGACTCTACAGAACTGCAGACGGACAGGAATGTCAGAGAGAGAGAGAGAGAGAGAGAGAGAGAGTGAGTCAGTGGCCGATGTGCCAGAGAGATGAGTGTTGAAAGCTCCTTGGAAAAAGGATTAGGGCTGTTTATGTTGGCCAAGTGGCCCGCTGCCAGCTGCTCAAGTGTGCAAACTTCTTAAAGCTGCAGAGCTTCGGATTGGTCATGAATCTTTTCACTCTATTTACCCTCCACCCAAGACTGTATGGAGGGTTGTGCTTTGTTCAGGGGGAAAACCCACTCCGATTCAGCCCCCACCTCCATAAAAGCACGCTCTGCCCCCTAAAAAATGTGTTGGATTCAAAACCAGGCTTTCTGGGACACCACCCCTAAATACACACCCATACAGAGTGTGCATAAATATAGTTTGAAGGTCCAGTGTTTAACATGTAGGAGGATACATCGGCAGAAATGGAATATAATATAGTATGTTTTCATTAGTGAATAATCACCTGAAAATAAGAATTGTTGTGTTTTTGTTACCTTACAATGAATCGTCTTTTTCTACACTTCCGTGAAGGCCACCATGTTGAACCGCCATGTTTTCTACAGTAGCCCACAACGAATAAACCAAAAACTGGCGCCTGATAGGGCTGTTGGTGTTTTTAATGTATTTCACTCCTGGCGTTTCTTGCACACACTTGAGAGGATGAAGCGAATGAGTTGCAATCTGCAACTACAATGCCAGATGTAGAACCCCACACACTGTACCTTGAAGTAGATTAACTAATTTTTACCTTAAATATACAAGCAAATGTCCATTTAATGTATGTGTTGGAAAACAACCCTGATCACATTTAAATTAAATCCTGTATAGTTATATATAGAGTGTAATCTGACAGTAATACTAATCAGACACCATATTTGGATTGTTGAAGGTAAGAATCTGATTATATTAAGTAAATCTGTCTTCCGCAGACTTGATATGGATTTCATCAAATGAAGAAAGGCAGGCATTAGAAGTGTCCAGGTTGGAGGTAAAAGGAAAAAAAGGGGGGGGGTGTCCATGTATCAACAGTAGGATAAGACTCAGCCTGGGAGTTGGCAGGGTGCCAGAGCTCTGCGGCCTGGAGCTAGATCAGAGCAGGGTTCGTGAGCTGTAGTTATGAGATGAGGGTCTCAGGTCATGGAATAATAAAAGGCATAGAGCCTCTGCAGCAGTAGAGCTAAACTACAACTTTTGTTCTTGAGTCTCAAAGTACTAATACAGCTTGTTTTTCCCCCTCTCTTGTAGGCTATAGGACTACTATTTGACGTAGAAAACATGCATTATTATTCATTTTAATCGATTCAGCTGTCCCTGCTCTTTCAAGTTGCTACAGCAGTTAAAAAAAGCCTCATTAGGATCTGTAATCAACATTGATGAGTGTTTTTTGGCTTGAAATGTAAAACACCAACAGTTTCTCTTAACCCTAATACCCAGGTTCAGACTTTAAAGGAATCATTGTGGTTTTTCTCTCAATGCCATAAGACTAGAGTCAATCTATAACCTTTGGTGTTTGTGTCATGTAGCAAATGTTTCAATATCCCTGTGAGTTGCTTCTCACATTCTGCATTTGTATATTTGGCATTTCATTGTGAATACAGATTGTGTCCAAATTGGAAAACTAACTCCTAACAGAACTACCTTGCATCCTTGGGTTGTATAATTAACTCCCGACTTACCAGGAAGCAATCTCAAGTTCTCTATTTGAGATATACATTTGGTTCACTAAACTTACATGATGAGAGCGCTCAAGCAGCTGGCCTCATTCATTATCATTAAAAACGTTATAAACTACTAATCCTAAACAGATGTATCAAACCATAAAATCATGCTGTTTTACTCAGGAGCTGTCAAGTTTCAACTAGATCCCTCCATAAACAAACACACATCCCAGCAACACTGTTTGTGCATGCTGCCATCTTTTGGTAACAGTGGGTACTACAACTAATAAAGAATTGTACACTTTGTATTAAAAGGTACAAACAAAAATACATACTATAGCTCCACAATATATGCATGTTGTATATTTGCTATTTGTTGTTTGCTGCCAGAAAACAATTCAGACACTTTCACACTATAAATCTTGTATTCAAATAGGAACATGCTGAAGAAAAACATTCTTTAACATCCATCGTGTCAAACTGTCCATCTAAAATAGTTTACAAATTGACTTCAAAGTTTGAAAAATATGTCAACAAAACAACGTTTCCAGTTTCATTAAATGACAATACTTCAGACTTTAAAAAGTGCATTGGTCAAGCCACACAAATTCACCACCTTTTACAAGTGGACTCAACTACCCATCTAATTATGTAAGATGAGTGTGCAATACTACATAAATCTGATATTTAAGGTTTAAGGCACATTCCTATATCTCACACTTCAGACTATTTCATTATTATGATGAATCCTTTTTTTTCTCAAAATGATTTTTAAAGATTGCCTGGTGTCAAAAGAACACACACAACCTGACAAGATAATGTATATTGCACCCGATTCTTACCGTAAACACAATTTACACCTTTGGCACTGTATTCAGACCTAGAGTGAAGACATGAGGTGCATGGCAATAACTTAACAATGAAAACACAGATACAAAAAATAACTTACATCAAACAAGGCACACAAATAATGCTCAAACCCATGTCAAATACAGATTGCCTCACACGGTTCTGGCGACAGGTGGAGACAATGCATCTCCCATTTTAGCATTTTAAGGCAAAAGTTAAAAAATACATTAGTGTATTGGGACAAATATGATAAAACAATCATATTGCGATTATTTTTGACAGATATTGCAACTGCGATATGATCCCCAATTAGTGGGGATGATAATTTTTGCATAACTCTTTTCATTTTTTACAAAAAAAACCATCATGATGATGAGACATTTGTTGAGGACTGTAACAAACAACCATGTTTTCTTAAATCTGGAAAACAAGATTCGTAGGCCAGGATTTCTCTTCATTTTACCTTTATCAAACAATTGCAGCTTCTGCCATTTAGATATTGCACTCGGCCAGATGTATTTTGATTAATTGTGCAGCCCTAACACTGACGTGACAACACCTGATGTGTCGATACTAAAACAGGCACTGACGGAAAGGCAGGTTGTGGTAAAGCTACCTGGAGCTGGGTCGGCTCAAGGTTTCTGCCTCTTAAAGAAGTTTTTTCTTGCCACAGGTCTAGACCTGCTCTATATGAAAGGTGTCCTGAGATAACTTCTGTTATGATTTAGTGCTATTCAAATAAATTAAAAAATAGAAATGCCTACAAAGCAGATGTTTGCATAACCATTTAAAGGTACAGTGTGTAACATTTAGGAGGATCTATTGGCAGAAATGGAATATAATATTTACCGGTATGTTTTCATTAGTGTATAATCACCTGAATATAGAAATTGTTATGTTTGTGTTACCTTAGAAGCCATTTTAGCTACAGATTCCCTGCCCAACACAGACACCAGCGGTGTTCAGTTGGCGGCAATCTGAAACTTAACCACAAGATGCCACCAAATCCTACACACTGGCCCTTTAATACCTCAAATTTAGTAAAGTACCTGAGGAACTGTAATTTCAACAAACATCAAAAAAATTTCAAAACAAAGAATCAACAGTATTCAAAAATAATATTTCAGCGAACTGTATTCCAAGTAAGCTCTTCGAAGATATGTTGGTGTCCTAAATTGTTAGAACAGGGTGCAGCTATTTAGCTTCACTTCAGGATAATCAGTGAAGTTTCTGCCTCAAGCATCACAGTTATAGTATAAAACAGACATGTGGTGGTATTGCACAGAGTAAAAACGATAGGAGATTTAAGCTTTATCTTGACTGTCACCTACTTTTTCTAGGATCATCTAACCCAACAGTCTTAAATAATGATTACGGTTTCATGGGACTCAAGAATGCACTATCCTGTTTATTGATAATGTACCAAGGCCTGTCCCTGAGATGTTTGAAATGGTGGAGGACTGTATGGCACCAGTACTGTCTGTTGGTGAAACTACTCCGTTATCTTTTGTTTTGAAATAAATGACATAAAATAACGGCAGGACGATGCCAATCAGGAGCATAGCAACTACAGCGTTCCACCACTGGATGCCCCAGTCTGCACCGTGACTGGTCAGGCGCTGTCCTCTGAAACCAAACCTATGGCGTTTCTCCGAGTTATCCAAGAAATCCTCATCTTGATCATTCGTGGTCTGAATCAGTTTCTCGATATCCTGGTCCACCTCCATTAGAAAGTCTGTGACCTCCTGCAGATGTGGCTGGGCTCTGGCTCTGTCCTGAGGCTTCACTGGTGTGGTAGATGAATGTGGCATTTCTTCTTGAGGGTCACTTAAGTCTGTGTAAGTCTCGGTTAAGAAGCTGTGTTTCTGAACGGGTATTTTGATGGATTTCAGCGCAAATAAATCTTGTTCATGCATAAGGTTGTTCACTCGCTTTATATCTGCCACCTGTTGACAGAAACAAGAATGAAGGCACGTAAATGTCAACACTTAATATGCCGCTGAAGAGATTAGCGCCAGGAATAACAAAAAAAACCTTTCAGTGACTATCAAAATTCTTTACCTTGCAGCCATATTGCAGTGCAAGCTTGTTGAGACTGTCTCCATCGAACACCTCCCGCTCCAGCAGCTGGACGTTCCTCAGGCTGCTCTGCTCCTGCTCTTGGTAAACCCGTGGCCTCATCTCCATGACACTGAGCTCCTCATCATCTGAGGATACAGTAGACTCATTCTGCCTCCTCTTGAACATGTAAACCTGGCCATCCGCACTGGCATGGACGTCCACTGGGGCCTGGAAAGCCCCTGGAACGTGCTCCACCCGCCGCATGATGAAACACCAGCCTGTGAGGAATTAAGATTTAACAATTAGGATTCACACAAGAAAAAAAAACGTAAAACTCCGACCTCAGATATCTACATGTAAGACTAATTTATACATACTTCTAACTCGCCTCTGCTCCACTGCCTTGTGTAACTGAGTGGGGTTTCCAAATAGAGGGTTTCTTTCATCTGTCTTTTTAAAGATACTAGAATAAAATGTGAGCGCCTCCTCAATCAAGATTGATAATCAAGATAAAACGACAATTTTGCGAGCATCCAACAATATTTCTCAAGAGTCTCATGCTAAAAGTCTTTTGTGCAATCTACTGCCCATGTGCAACTGCTGCTGCTACTATTTGTACTATTTGTGTTATCTGTTGTTTGTGGATTCTTACTGTTGTGGATTCTTACTGTTTTTCTCTTGTACACAGTATTTTTATTTATTATCTTTCCTACTCCTACTGTTTTTATACTGTTTTTTCCCTATCCACTTTGCTGCTGCAACATTGGAATTTCACCATTGTGGGACAAATAAAGGAATATCTTATCTGAATATCTTAAAAACAAAACAAATACGCCCTCCTGTGGCAGTAGTGGGAGTCCAACAACTGAAAAAATAACAGTTAAACACAAAACTACAGCTTTCAATGCACAGTAAAATGTGCCAAAAGTTGGGCAATAACTCCTTTAGAAGCCCAGTATTCATGGTAAATTATGTCTTGACCTAAAATTAGACCCCACAGTATGCCAGTGACGCTATAAATCTACTGGACACCATGACACCACTCTCTACCCTTGACCTAATGCCAGAGGTGGGAACTAACAACGTAGTTTTCAGGAATCTGTACTGTACTTGAGTATTTATTTTTCAGACAACTTTTTACTTTTACCCAAATATCTGTACTTTATACTCCTTACATTTTCAATACAGGCTCGCTACTTTAATGCATTTGAGGGGAATTAAGAGTTTTATTTTGCATCACTGAATGCCTTCCCAACATCACCATCAGTGAATGTAACATGACGAACACGCAGAAAACAACGTAACAGGACGAAACAGACTAGAGATCGAGACTCAACCTTATTTGAAGTTTCAATTAGGTCAGAAACCAAGCGAGTACTTTGAGTACATGTCGGAGCCTGTACTTTCTCTTTTACTTGAGTAAAGAAGTTGAATCAGAAGTTCTACTTGAGTAAATACTGAGTGTACTTCTGCTACCTTTGCCAAATACACCTTTAATCTGCCTTTCAATCCAAATCCACAGTAATACAGATACTTAGCAGAATGAAGTGGCTTTATGTCTACATTGTATTTGCTTGGCCAGTGGTTCTCAACCTGGGGGTCGGGGGCATCGCAAGGCCCTCTTGATTTTAAGGGGTATAAGTAAACATCTTATTATTAAACATAAGATTATCTTGTCCTGCATTAGAAAAGTATGCAGTTAAAAAAAAAAAAGCACTAACAAAACAATAAGGCCTCAGGAAGAATAAAAAAAACACTGAATTTGTCAGAAAAGAAGCCTATTAAGTGTGTATGATTGTTAAAATATAAAAAAAAATGATAATACAGATAGAGAATTGTTTTTCATTACTAGAAAAACACAACTCTGACACAATATTCACAGGAAAATAATGAATCAAGTCCATCCAAATTGCTCGTTTTACACAAACTTCCTGCAGTTACTGTGTTCACTATACAATTTATCAGTTGTTCTGTACTATTATTGTTATGCATTGAATATAATTTGAAATATATACACTCATGGGTCATCAGTTTACTCAGTGATAGAAAAAAAGGTCCCTTAAGGAAAAAAGGTTGGGAACCTGACTGACTTATGCTAAACTGCACTGCTGCCAACTCTGGCTTGAATAGACAGCTTCATTTAAATGCCATAAGCCACTCAAGTGTCCAGCAGTGTTTATCTACTTGTACAAGGCTTATTAATAGATCAATAAGAAATTGTGTACGAGTGTAAGAGTGCAGGGAAGCCTACAGGGTTGTCAAGTGGGCACCCCCTCAATAACTGCATATTTAGTCTTTAAATCTACAGTACAACACCTCATATGTCACTATGAGTCTGAATTCAGATGACAGCTGTTGTCAAGTTAGTGTTCGCTGTGTTTTGCTCACATTTTAAAAAAAATGTGTAACATTTAGGAGGATCTATTGGCAGAAATTAAATATAATATATAACTGTTTTCGTTGTACGTTACTTAGGGTCTACGTCGGCGGCTGAAGCTAGCAGGTTAGCGTTTAGCTCCTGACGTTCAGCATGTGTTCCGCCTCTACCATGACAGAAAGCCAGACAACGAGCTGTCTTACTTCAGTCAACTGTTACTTCTTTTTTGTGTGTTGGAAACCACATGCAGAAATATTACTTACAGTAAATGCAGTTTCACAGACTTTTTAAACTCAGACTGCGCTGTTCCCATCTTAGTTACCTTATCCAAATGCTTTGGCAACAGTAACGCTAACAACCACCGCCGCCGCCGCCGTCCTCCCCAGGTTGACTTGCTACGTTACGGCTTCTTCTTCACGTTCTTGTTGCTATGTGGCAGTTGGCAAACAACGTCATGGTGCATTACCGCCACCAACTGGTATAAAGTACGTATGGCACCTATATATATATATATATATATTGTCGATGCTTTGCACTCACTATTTCTACTTGGATAAGGATCTGGTTTATTGCCAAGTAGGTTTTCACATACAAGGGATTTAAGGTTAAGTTTAAGGTAAGTTTAAAGATAGAAAATTATAAATAAAGATAGAAATAGAGACAATGAAAGGAGACAATATATACAAATAGAGAGAGAATATGCATAATATGGCCGGATACTTAAATAAATGAGTGAAGAGTTGTACAGGAATGTGCCAAAAAATTGGGAAAATGGGAATTCTGTGTGTGAGTAATGATATCTGCAAAATCTAACAAACAAAACAAGACAAAACAATGAGCAACAACACAATGAGGCTGCCGTCCAAGGCGTCATCTCGCTCTAGGAAAGGTAATAAATACTAATTAATAAAATATTAGAAAATGAGAAAAAATAAAGTTATATTCTCTCTATTAAGTTAGTTTCCTAAGATGTACATTAAAATACCTACACAAAAATATTTATTCTAGCATCCATTACACTTAGTAGTTTATGTCTATTTGTATCTATCTATCTATCTATCTATCTATCTATCTATCTATCTATCTATCTATCTATCTATCTATCTATCTATCTATCTATCTATCTATCTATCTTGTTGTCCTATTTATTTATGGTATTTTGTGTATGCACATTGAGAGTAATGTAAAACTGGAGTCAAATTCCTTGTATGTATACACATAGTCTACTTGGCCAATACAAATGATTCTGATTCTGATATTTAAATAAAAATGTTACTTTCCTTTGAACTGCTTTTGCCACCTTTCAACATCTTCAACACGTAGTGCTATCAAAAGATGAGGTCGGCCCGAAGATGTATTTAATACTTTATTCACTCATTTAAAAACACAAGCTTGTAAATAAGAAAAGAAACAAACAACAAGACACAGACGAGCACCGACACCACACGCTACAGTTGAAAACCTGTGTGGCTTCCCCACCCCCGTCCACCTGTGACCTCCCCATCTAAGGTACATGACTGATTTGATGATGACTCTTTGTGTCCTCAGGGGCGCAAGTGACGCAACAACAACACTATTTACACTTACCACACACATATATAGGACACAAGTAGTATATGAGAATTCTTGTTTTGGGTATTTTCTATTTTATTATGTGCTTATTCATATTAAGTAACTTCAAAGCTTCTCTATGTCTGACATCTGTTGGTAGAAAGTTATCTACATCTCATCTAAGCCATTAAGCATATAGGGACTCTCCTTTTTTCCCCCTCCCCTCTTCTGTCCCTCTGTAAGTTTCCCAGTGTAAGATAAGAGGTGGTGTGGACAGCAGCGGCACACAGCCTTGGGCTGAGCGGATGCTAGAAAGTGAATATTAGCTCTTGAATCCTCAGGGAAAGAAGCAAAGAAGTTTGAGAAAGGTCAGGGTAGTAGCAGTGGCTTCTTTGACCACTAGATGGGGCTATTGGTCTTTCATACCTCTTGTCATTTGTTTACAGCTGCTCATCAATTTATCGGATAAAACTGATGCAGAGCTTTTTAGAATGGGGCAAAGCATTATTTTCATTCAATTCTGTTACTGATTGTTATTATTAACTGGTGTGGATACTGCAGCAATGGTTATTTACCTGGTGGAAAATAGAGTAGAACCCCTTCCATCAAACCATATGTAAGCAATATAAAAAGCAAAACTCTAAATCCTGCATGGCAAGGATCATGAAGAAAGGTGTGCCCCAAAGCATATACCCAATCAGCTCAATTAGACACCACGATGAGTTGAAACCATGGTCAGTGTGATGTGGTGTCCATGTTTTTCACATATTGATCTGGCCTGTGTAGACTTTTGATTGTACCCCATGAAGAGCTTTGACCAATTCAGTTTTAGTACCTCTGTGTTCACAGTATGTATATCCCACAATGTGGAATGCACTGGCCCTGGAAACAAAAATACGGTATAGGTAGAGTATGGACCACAGAACGCATTTCAAATTAGTCGGGTCCATAAGCACCACAGGGTCACTTTAAAAATCTGTTATTTTTCAACATTTATTTTCAGTAAAACTTTAAAGCTAACGAGGTGGCAGAGAATTCAAATGCCAGCAAGTTGGATTTACGTCACACGACATTATTTAACCAATCCATGTTTGGATAGCAGAATTTATTGATATCACATGTGGTCTGTGGTCACAGAGTATGATATATGATATATGACCTGTAGTCTTAAAAAAGCGGCTACAGAATGATTTTATTTACATTTTTGTACATTCAAAAGTAGGTTCCACGGTCCTTGAAGTAGAATAAGATTTTACCAGGGTGAAAAAGACCCACTCCATGGAAGCCAACCCGCGGGGTCCATAGACAAAAGCGGCTCATTCTTAGGTTAATAAAACATAATGATGCTTATTTTTATAACCTCTCTGTGATTACACTATTGAAAACAATAGTGTTATTATATTCAATTTAGATCCTCCTAAATGTTACACACTGGAGCTTTAAGTTGTTGAAGTTTTACTCCAGTCACCTTTAAATGATGTAAAACAAAAATACTCTGCTTTGATAATTAGTATCATAAATAAACAATATTTTGTTTAACATGATTGTCCGACATAAAAAGTCTGAACTACGGAAGCCACGCCCACCGAGGTCATTGCCCCAGGTTGACGGGTGACAGAGCCCCAGGCAACAAGATGGCTAACCTCAGAGGAAACATTGGATATATTCAGACATAGCCTCCATGTTTAAGCCTCAGCCTCAAACTCAGAATGGTAAGTGTAGTCAGCATCTTTTATTTGTTCATGTTGGTTGTTAGCAGTGGCTGACACAGCTGGCTTAGTGGTTGTTAAATATACCATAACTGCTACAATGTTACAGTGTTACATTGTTATTATGTAATTAGTTACATAGTGGAAGGAAGCTCCAGCATCCTGTTTACATCCAAAAACAGCACACTCCCATTGTTTGTTGTCGAAACCGTCACTATACTATGCTAGTATAAACTCTCTCTGTGTTGACTGGCCCTTTCAAACGCGAAGGAGAAATTATGGTGGCCGAGAAAAACGCGGGCCACTTTGGAAAAATGGCGGTTCAACATGGCGGACTCCCTGCGACCTGTGGCGTCTGCAGATAAAAGAAGGCTCATTTTAAGGTAGCAAAACATAGCGATTCTTATATTCAGGTGCATTATATATTAGCCTATACACTGGTGAAAACATAGTTATAGTAGTTATCTTCTATTTCTGCTGTAAATATTACACACTGGACACTGGGATGCACAATTAATCGCAATATTATTGAAACTGCAATATGGCCAAGTGCAATATGGAAATCACAGAAAGCTGCCATTGTTTGATAAAGGTAAAATGTGAGACAAAACAGCATTATAATGAAGAACCTGGTCTACAAATCTTGTTCCCAAGATTTAAGAAAACATGATTGTTTGTACGGAGCCCAACTAATCGAACATCATCATGATTTTAATTGTTTTATCAGCATAAAATCTGCACCAATCTCAAATCTTATTGCATATTCATGTGAAAATAATGGCAATATGATGTTTTTACCATATCAGGCAGACCAACACTCGACCGTTTAATCTGTTATGAAAATGCAGTATCAAGAAAAGAGAAAGTGCAATTTGATTGTGTTAACCTGATTGGGTGCACAGGGATATTCCTATAAAAATAAATAAATAAATAAAATCATAGTAAAGCTGCTAACATATTATAACCTTTTTATAGCATTACACTGATGGTATGAGTCTTAACTGAAGTGTACATTTTTACATGGCTGGGAATATAAATTAGGTTTTTTTTTTTTCAGATGACTTCAACCTCATAAAAATGCTCATGAGGCAAGATTTTGCCAAGATTGTGGAAGTTGATATGGAGAGATGGGATGTCCTGAAAACATTTTGCTTGCCCACAATTGTCACCCAGATCCCTTTATACTGAATATCTCTTGATATATTCATTACATTCTTGTTTACTCCTTTGACATAAAAGAGCTGCACAGTGTACCCATAGCCTACAATGCATAAATATGTGTGTACATTAAACTAGTGAAGCAGTGCAATGCTTGACGACTAAATATCTCTATTAAAAATATGACAAAAAATAACCTGCATGAGCTGTCCCTGATAGTTTCCTCTAATATTTTATATGGTGTCCTACAGTATCTTATAGTATAGTATTTGGCTAGGGTGGTTTAGACATAATTTGAACTCATACCACTGTGTTTCTTGTGTCTTGTGCCCATAGAGCACCATGTGGCACTTTTGACGGTTGATGTAATGCAGAAAACAATGATTTGGAGATGGATAGAGGTTGATAAATACTGATCCATCAAAATATGTCTCGATTGGCCTTGATTCCAATCTGGTGTATCCAATTCACACCATCTACACATATACATTGTGTAGGTCAGTGGTGGTTTCCAACTGGTCTAGTATCAGGGTTCACATCTCCTTATTGAGGCACTCACAAAGTAGGCTAACTCAACACCCATTCAAATGTATTGATTGATATTTACTACATTGTAGTACATTACCACATAGAAGACACTGAGGTTTTTTTGTCCTACTGTTTGGAGGCCTTGCTAGTTAGACTCATGGTATTGTAAAGACTGTAGTGCTGCTTGTTACTCTGTAGTGTTGTGTGTGTGCTGATGGAGGTTAATTGGACGGAGAAAGACTTGCAAACTTGAAAACTTGATAAAAAAAGCCATTACACTGTACTTTATGGATTTGTTTTCTTAGCTGTTCCCCACCGAGCATGACATACTCACCTGTGGTTAATACAGGTGCAGTATCAGAAGGAAGGTGATGCAGAGACAGACAAAGCCAAGCAGGAAGAGAAGGTGGAACAGGTAAGAATTTAGACTGAACAGTGAATGTAACATATGTGACAGGAAAGCTTGTCAAAATAGAGATAAGAGTGACATGTTGTCAAAACAGGCATCAGAGACTCAGCTGGAGAAAGAGACAGTTCACCCAGCAGAAAGAGAGAAGTGATGAGGTAAGTTGTGTCATTACACAGACCATGACATTAGTGTATAATGGTAGGTTTTACTGTGGAACATTTTGCCCATGGCTGATTAAATTATGCCATAACCAGTCCACAAACAGTCAAGAAGGCACTATTTTAACAGATCCTTTTCAATCACTTATAGTTGGTGCTATAGAGACGGGACATGTGACACAAAGACTACTGGCAGTAAGAGGTTGGACACTGAGTGCAATACTGAGTGACTAGCTGTTGAAATTGTAATTGTTAATGAAAAGCATTTCTCTCTTGTCAGGGAGGTTTTTTGTCCCAGCTGAATGTCAATTTTTATATCATCAACTAAAAGTCATCTTGGTGAAAGGCAGAATTAAGGCCATATCAGGATATCATGGATAAGAAAGAAGATTATTCTGAATGGAACCTCTTATGTTACTCTCTCTTTTGTGTATGGAGCATTAAGGGATACCACGTTGAGATTGCAGGAACTGGGATGTGTCAGAATGAAGGGCTTATGCTTTCTATACCTTTCTTGATTGTTGACAGTCAAGACAACATAAAGCAAGGCTTAGTGGCTTTCTGCTTTTCAGTAACATATGTGCTGCTTGGCGTAATTCCTGCTCTATATCTCAGTGATTGAAAGTATGCAAATGATTACATTGGCTGAAAGATGCAATTGTTTCCTATTAAAGGCAAACCATTGATTTACATGACATTCAAATGAATAAAAGTGTAAACACAGGTACCTTGGGTTATATAGTAAAAGCAAAATATGGCTTGATAATGCGAGAAAAAATCCATCTAGTGTTGCAGTGGTGCAATCAACAGGTGAAAATGGATTTTGAACCATAAACCATTTCCTATGTTGTTGTAGAGATTTACACTGCATATAGTGTATACCATGAGGCTAAATGTAAACAAAAGTATGGAGTTGTAATGATTAAAAGTGCATGGACCCAGTCAAATAGGTATGGTGTTGTGCTCGATTATGACTGTTTCCATTCACAGGAGAAGCAATTGACCATGGGAATGGGAACCTTTGTATGTAGCTTGCTAGCTACATCATAAGTAGTGACAAGCATGTGATAGAGCTGCTGTACAAGTTTCTGTAAGTCAGATACAGAAATAACTGATGTTGAGTGGACAGATACATCACACGCTACTAATTTATTATTGCAAAACAAAACAAAATAACTGCCCCTAGGCGGGCAAACATGAACATGATCTCAGCTTAAATCAATAAAGTGAATCATAGTGCAAAGTGAGCCTGATTATGAGGCCTTTGATTAGGGCTGCACGATACGGTAAAAACATCATATTGCGATGGTTTTGACAGATGCATATTTGCATATTGCACTTGGCCATATTGCAATTTCGCTAATATTTAGTGTAATTGTGCAGCCCTACGTTTGATGTGGTAGCAAGTACAATTGAAGTGACTGAGGAGAAAGGTCTGCTGACAAATCTTTTGTTATTTATTTCTTCCTACAGATGAAATTTACAATAGGATTGTATTTCTCCTCACCAGTTAACATGGGCTGTGTGTTGTAAAATTGAACTTTAATGGAGATATTAGAATAGTGTACAGATAAATGGAAAAGATAATAGAGAGAGTCTACAGAGAGACATAATAAACAGCAATATTTTCTGTTCTGTGAGCTGAAATTGGAAAATGGAAGTAATAATTTCTGTGACAAGAAATAATAGCGTTTGAAGTGAATTGTTTAAGAATGGAAAAACTGCAAACTGCTCGAGTTGAACTGTAGAACTTATAATCATCATTAGTATAACATTAGAAAAATGCGTGCGCAAATCTTTGTAGCTGACCTGTCAATTGATTTACAATATTTTCCCCAGCAGGAGACAAATGCTTTGATTGAATGAACCTGTGTAAATAAGCTTTCACTTGGGTTGTAGCTTGAAGAATTAATTTGTCGAGGATACGGCATATTTCTTATACTCGGTGCTTAGAGTCTTGCCTTTTATGAAATACAGTGTCTATATATTGTTTTAAGTCACATATGATACAGGGCTAAGCTACAAGCAAGACTGGTTAAACATGAAGTTAATAGCAGTCATGCATATTCTAGTGTTTCTTTCCACATATGCATACCCGTTCAGCCGGAAACCACAAATGACCTCCAGTTGACTTCTTTATCTAGGCAGCATAGTTGACTCACTAGCAAATCAGATTTTGTGTTTAAGCATATAGACCAGCCTCTTAATTAAAAGAGTCATTCAATAGTCATTGATCTCATGTGCGTAGTTTGTTGCCCCTTTTTAACCATGATTGCTCAGAAATTGCTTCGTTATTGTATGATCATCTGCCAGCACAACCACCGCATTAAGTCAAAGTGAACTGTTACTGTTGACTTCATTGTCTCATGAAGTCAACCTTTGCACTTGAAAGGCTTAACGATGGTAAAGTTAATGTTGCCTTAGAGGGAATCATCATATCATTTACATTGCATTCAGATTCAGGGTGTAACGCTGAACGATGATCAGCAGAGCGGCATAATGTGCCATATTTCAGGGCCACTGAGCAGCTTGTCCGACTGAGAGAGAGAGAGAGAGAGAGAGAGAGAGAGAGAGAGAGAGACACACACACTTGGGTGAGAAAGGAAGGAAACAGAGAGAGAGAGAGAGAGAGAAAGGGGGGAAAGGGGAAAGGAGGGAGGCAGGGACTGAGAAGTGAGGATAAAACCGTGTACACTCACTGCATGCACATGTTGCCCGAAGAACAACAGAAAGGGCTTTGCTTTAAATGATTCAGAGCAAAGATTAAATATTTATTGAGGTGAAAGATTCATGTATGCCACATCTATGAACTCATTGCTGTATTGCCACATTATATCGTGTTCTCGTATCTTGCTCTTTACTTTTCAAGTATTTCTAAGGCCAACTGACTGAACTGCTGCGACTTAAGACACATGTTGATGTTACATTATTTATGCACAAAATGTGGCTTTAAATATACAGTTTTTCTTTTAAATGTGTTTTTAAGGTAAATATTTAAATGTCTTGCCCTTTTCTCCCCAAAAATGTAGGCTCAAGCCAGTTTGGGGAGCTTACATTTTCATCCAAATGAAACTCTTTACAGGGAGTCCTTTTTAAAGGCAAGTGAATTCAAAATCTACATACACAACAAGGGCAAATCTTTCATGTCATCATTAGCAGATCAGTTATTCTTTTCATTGTTACTGACATGTTGACATAGGCCTGATTACACCCTATTGCCATCATCCACTGTGAGAAACATTTGATTATTTGTCTTGCAAAAAATAGAGCATAAGAATAGAGCATACGATTAGTTTTATCTGTCGGGTGTATTTTGAAATGAACCACAGGTGACTGAAGGTTTGTCTCGGAAATCCACAGGGGTCCTGCTGCAGCAGTTGGTGTGGGGAAGCCAAATTAAATTCCTATGGCTCAGGGTCATGGCAACAGTTCAGATGTTTATTGATTAAATGTCAACTGCCCAGGTGAATGTGATTCACAACTCAGAGGGGCCTAATTCAACAATCCATCACCAGTAGAGGAGCATTCAAACCAACACATCATCACTACATGTTTAGATCTAATGTATAACTCTAATATAACTCTACAGCATTGTAAAAGTGGTGACAGGTTTCATGCTGGAATAGCGGGGTTGGTAATAACGCCGTCTGTAAGTTAGTTGTTAGATGTTGAGTCAAATTAATGTACTTGTATGTTTCATGAGGATGTAATGCCACGTGTCTTTGGAACTAAGAGAAGTCTTCATAAGCTCAATGGTTTATAAAAACTGCAATGATTAATCCATTGTTTAATTATAGCTGATCGACAAACAATCATTATTCAGATTATTTTATATCGTTATACACTGCATAATTTGGGTTTTGGATTCTTTGTTGGACAAAAGCAATTTAAATAGGTTATCTTGGGATCTAGGAACTTGCAATGGTAATATTTTCTTATGTTTTATAGACTGAACAGTTAATAAATGAATTAAAAAAACATTGGGAGAAAATAGTCATTAGTTGCAGCCCTATTCTCAATTTTAGATAGATAGATGTTGTTCTAATAATATTCAGTATTTCTTTGAATATTAGACCGTGGAATCTAAGGTTAACTATGTTTCTGTGAGGACAACAATTGAGAGTAAACATGCTGACATCCTTATATATTATAATGGCGTGTTAATTATGGAGTATTTCAGACTGCTATGGGTACAATTTCAGGCAAAGAAGGCCTTCAGCCAAGGGACTGGGGCAGAGATTTGCTGATAGGTGCAGTGCAACTATAGTAGGGTATATTAATTTGGATCCCAAACCCTAAGGGTGACCCCTCACATGAGACAGAGCTCTGGCAGTCCTGGTCTTCATGCAGGCCATGAGCATACAGTGACACATAACCTTGCCCTGTCACCACCCTCACCAGTGTGTCAGCTAACATTACTGTGATTGACGTTGAGCCAGCACTCAGACTATGAGATCTGAGGCTCTGTATAACCTCGCCCTAGCTGTGTACCAGGGCTAGGACATTTGGGGCAATGGTACTGGATCATGATGCCATCTGTGTTTGTAGTCATCTGCGTTTGTAGCCTGTACCTCTGTTAAACAAGGGCACAAGCCTTTGTGACCTTGTTTAAATTTGAGCTGTTTTTATAGCTAAAATCTAAATGTGTTTGTGAAGTGTCACTCTAATACAGATAGATAACTAAAGAATAAGTGCTTTTACAGAAATGTAACATTTTAAGATAGTGCCATAACTGAAAGGGGAGAATCTAGATATTGTCATTGTTGAACACTATAATATAAACTATGTAAGTAAACTTTTGCAATAGAGATGCGTATGAAATTTTATTAAAGCAGAGATTCAACAGAAAGTTCAGTTGAAGTGGTAATATATCACAGTGCACAATACTGCAATAATAATGCTTCTTGGGGGGCGGACAATGAGTTGTCAACATCAAGTTAACTTCACATTGTTGGTATTAATTAATCACTCAATCAGGATAGTTTTATCTAACTAAGCCAGAATGGAAGATTAGCTATGGGCTTACACATTTTGAACTATGTCAGTAATTCACTCTGCCCACTACAGACGTGTTTTAAACTACACCCAAAAGGCTCCCCTGTGAAAGACACACCACTCACAAAATGAATACTAGATGTGCTTGATGAACCTCAGCTGGCAACCTACCAGGGGAGGAATGCTATTCCTATATTATGTCAGAGTTACCAGCTTAGAAATGCTTTGAAAAGCCCAGATAATAATCAGTCTGGTGGATTGCTAAGCTGTTCATCTAAATTTCCAGGAATCCAACTCATGAAGCAAGGCAGTTTATCAAAAATCCACTGACTTGCTAATGTTGGCAAGCATGTTGCCAGCCTGGGAATGCCAGTGACAAGCTTCATATTTAGCTCTGCTGGCCTTACTACCCCTGTCCTATAAGTGACTAGATCAGTTACTGGCTTTGAGATATAGCACCACCAGGCTCTCATTAGATCTGTTTCTGGGACTTTGACTGCTTTATATACAGTAGCTAAATACAAACATATGATGCTCCGATGGATTGTAAACACAATTACTTTGGAGTATATCATTTGAGCATTACTTGGCTTGATAATATATGACACTTCCAGTGTTGTGGTAGTAATATGACCATCTACCATCCTTAGGTGAGAGTTAATTCAACATTATAAACTGCTATGTACCTTAACTGCCGGAGCATGAGTCTAGCTTGAGTATCAGCTGTAGCTTAGCTAATTAACCCACTTTCATATCCAGCAGATGAATGCAATAGTGAAACTGTTCAACACAGTCTCATCGTAGTGGAAAAGGAAAATATTAAGCTACATAATAAATAAGTTTTAGACTATTCATGCCTGTCAAGCTCATTTCTTTAGAACACCTGCATGCATAGTGTTAGTAAGGAAAGCACTGAGTTAAAAGGCTTCATGTAATGGCCTTTAAAGGAAGAAACACTCCCCATCGGTAAGGGGACTATCTTGTAATGCATGGTATCCTCAGTGCGAGTTCAAACTGCAGTCACGAGCGTCACTACCTTAGCCGTGTTACTTCATAGAATGTAAGCTTCCTTGTGACCGTGGGATTTTAATAATGTATGCCAGTTGTGGCACTGCAGTGTGGTTTTATGCATTAGTTGAACCACTACATGACCTCAACTTTCCTGCCATTAAATCATCACTGACAATAGGGGAATGAGATGCATTGAAATATTGATTATTATATGGAAAAGTGTACCTTTTTATGCAGTAGTGTTAGAACTATAAGAGTGGATAGATCCTATAAAAACGTAAAACTTCTGATATATAATAAAATAATAATAATACAAAAAATGAATGATACAAATATCAAGAAAATTAATATTGTTCAGTACTTTTTTACTTTTTTAACTCCACAGACAGGGAATGGTTGACAGTGTATGTATCCACATTTGATAGGGGGCTAAAGTTGAATGAATACAACCCTCAGTGTTGTTGCTTCATCAGTACACAACTGCAGATCCCCACCCAAACTTCGTGTGTGTGAAAAATAAATAATGCTTTCCCATTGAGACTGTCCCAGTCTTTCTGTTTGTGTGTCCCTGTCCTTAGTGGCATGCCCCTGTCCTGCTAGATAGGGATGTTCATTATCACAAACAAATAAACAAATAAATGAACATATTCACTTTGACCCACCACATGAAAAAATAACACTCTAAGAAATGTCACGCTCTACTGTGTACTATACTGCCTTTATTGTATGCTTTTATTTTGATAGGACAAGAAAGGGGGGAGAGATAGAGGGAGAAAGACATGCAGCAAAGGGCCGCAGGTTGGAATCGAACCCAGGCCGCTGTGGTAAGGACTCAGCCTACACTTCTTGAAATCTTTACACCGCATTTGCAAAAGGTGCAACTGTATCACAAAGTATGCTAATGAAACGACAAACGCCATTACTAATTCAACGAGGTGATTTGTGCCCTGATGGTAAAGTTACTGGCAGGAACAGTCAATTTGAGAAATGCTAACATTTGCAGCTGACACTACTAATAGTACACTGGAGCCCAGTCAAAGGCAACAGATACACACCCCTATGTGAGCTCTGTTTTTAATATATGCAGGTTCACAGTGCGATGTCACAGCTACTGTAGATCTGCTAGTCACTAAAAAGCTTATATTTCGACGATGAACATAATACTGGAGGCAATAAAGCTACAAGAGTTAATTTGCAAAAACTGATTAGCGCCATCCTTGAAAAAAATGAACTGATTACTGTGAGTTATTGTTAACAGATAGCACATTCCGTTAAAATTTTGCACTTTCACTCATGACCAGGAGTTTTATAGTTTGGCCAGGATTTTCAAAAGTACGATCTTATGTGTAATATATTGTTAATGGGCTCTTTTTGTTGACATTTTCAGCACTTTACCTTTTTTATGTTAAATAGAATAGTAAAAGAATTTTACTGAATTACTGAAAAGAAGCTTTTATCCATTACATGGCTTTGTTTAGCTCTAAAACATGATACTATACTTTTGGTGTTGTCTAAAACAGACTTTATTTGCATATATACAATTTTTTTAAGGTTTAATTATGTAAATTACCTGTATTTTGTTGAGTTATTCTTACTTCATCAAAATAACCCAACTGCACTTTGATTAATATTACCTGGAATGCGCAATAAATAAACATGATTTATGAAAATGAATAAAACGGAGCTATCTGTTTTTGCAAATGAGCTCTTCAAGTTGATGTAAATTGAGATAATCCTCTAAAAACTTTTCTTACTGGGTTAGCGCCTTTATCTCATTTGAAAAGATCTGATGACATGAAGGAAAGAGGATATGTAGGAAATTAATTGATGTGGAAATTGTCACATGAGGAAATCCTGAATAACTTCAGCAGCCAATGACCTCTGCCATCGCAGTAAGAGATAAAGCATTATGGGGGGGTGCTATAGAGCTAAACGTAGGATTGTAATCGCTGTAATACAGTCAAACACAAGTCACTGACCTGTAAAACCACATCTTATATAGCTCCAGATAAAATAAGATTTGTAATGATCTATAGAAATAACAGTTGACTCAAATATCTAAGGATGAAAAGACAAAAATCTATTTTCAACAAGAGGACAAAATGATCACATGTCATACTATATAGTGTTATATGTATTTGCCAGTTGTATCATGAACAAAAAATAGTGGCACTCATGTTTCATTTCAAACTGTATTTTATACAATTCAATAAAGAGCAGTACTGTATTAACCTTCTGTAGAGAATGCCATGACCTACTGATGAAGTACATCTTCTCTCCATTTGGTGGTCATCCACAGGGAAAGAGAATAATTAGGCCAAAAAAGGAAATGGTCAACATCAGGAAACAATGCTTCTGTTTCCAACTGTGCTATCCCTTTGCCACTTTTTCAAGAAGACAATAAAAGAGGACAGGCAAAACTGAGAGTCAAATCGAAGGTTAATTGGAGCCAGGAAAATGTCAACCAATTTTACCGATCACCCACAAGGGATATGCAGCCCTTGGTGAAAAAGATGCTGGAATATCTGCACAGTATATTAGCTTCCTATCCATAATGGACTCCTGAAGAGAGTGATGATGACATCTTTTCAGCACTCTGTTTCCCCTCGAAGCATTTGTGTGTGCACAAAAGACAAAGCGAGAGAGAGCGAGAGAGAGAGAGAGAGAGAGTGTGTGTGTGTGTGTGTGTGTGTGTGTGTGTGTGTGTGTGTGTGTGTGTGTGTATTTGAGTTTGTGTGTATTTGAGTTTGTGTATATGTATGGATGTGTTGTATGCTTCATGTCAAAGTCAGTATTGTTATTGAAAATGCAACCTCCCTGGGAACCGACAGGTGTTGGCACCAGATCTCTGACACCTCTGTGGGCATGACATATCCATCCCCTCCAGTTAGTTTTACCGTAACACATGGTGTTACAACAACCTCTCTGCTGAGGAATATAAACGGCCTGATATGCCATGTATTATAAATATGACAAATATAGTAGGGAAAAATAAAGTGCAAATAAAAGCTGTTGTGAATCTCAAGCCTTCTAAGATTCTTTTTTTGAGCTTTCATCATGGCAGCTTTTGAAAAATCATAGGTGTGAATTCAGCTGCGTGTGTTTGCTGTTTTTGAATGATTGTTACAGCATCCTTCACTGAAATTGAAATCTCAAGAAAAAGATTGATAAGAAACTTTTAAAGCTATAAGGGAAAGGAAATAAAGAATGTTCTATTTTAAGGCTAATCTGTGCCACAATGGCACATTGGCAGTTTATAGAGGAAATTGGCCTGGCCTTCAGCTGAAAAATGAAAAGGATTGCCACATAGGGTTTTTGTATACACACACACACACACACACACACACACACACACACACACACACACACACACACACACACACACACACAGACAGTTGTACATGTTTGTAATGGGTTTACGTTTTCTGTGGTCTGGATCAATTTGATGTACAGTATAATCTAGAACTGTGGTCCCCTAAAGATTTCATGAAATTCCTGTTTGCTTAAATTATTAGGTTAGTTAAGAATATGTGTAGGGGAAAAAAATTAACAACCCACTGCATTGACATTTACAACTGATAGGGCTATTTCCATTATAGTGTTGTTAATTAAATTGATTAGCTCATACAACTGCATGTTTATTGCAACCTTATTGAGCTGTGCTCCACAGTACTTGGAGTAACCCATGCTATCACTAACATTAAATCATGCTGTCACACCCCATAGTCTTTTTTGTGCCTTTGACAAAGGGCAACTTGGCCTTGATCTTCCTCACAGGACTATAGAGATAATAAAAAGGATTACTCTTGGTATAAGAAAAGGTGCTGTAGTCCAGTCTTAATTGGTGAGTTCCCTTGCTAAGTTGATCTAGTCTTGAGGCTGCCAGTTAGTGAACTGGTCAATTAATCTTCCTTCTCTCATAATGAGGTGGGGAATTTCAGATGGCTGGTCCTTCACACAAAGACAGACAATGTGCCCAAAGGATCTTCTGTCCCTGCACCAAGTGACCTGACAATTAAAAAATGTACCTCCCTACTTCCCCCTCCTCACCAGGTGGCAAATTGGTCTGACCCAGCCTCATATCAAAAGGACTAACCATGACTTCAAATCAACTTCACAGGCACAAAAACGGGGGAAAGGGCAGTATCATCCATGAAATAAGATTGTTGTATTAAGACTTTTGGCCCCTAATCATTCTGCCTCCCTCATTTTGAGGTAAATGAAAAGAGACTTGTTGGATCCTCCCTGCTGTGTGTCACAAGGGATTACCTTCTCAGAGGAAATAAGAAGTGCTGTAGCTTGACATTAATTTGATGATGCAGATGTGACAGCGGAGTAAGCTAAATGTTTCGGGTTAAATATGCTTGACCTTGCATTGTAGCTGGCTTTAAATCTCTTTTGTGAGAAATACAATAATAGAGGCGCCAGTCTCAATCGAAGGCAAATAGAAACCAGCCAAAATCCTTGACTTTTACACCATTTTGATATTTCCTCTTTTAATATATTTTATCAATGTTGAAGTAAAAAGTGCCCCTTACACTAAATAAGATATTTAGCTGTGTTCATGAATTCCATGATAAAGAATGTTCATCCTGCCTGAATAACAGTATTGTTAATACCATACTGGTGGTTTTACATGTTTTATCCCATTGAGTGCAAAATTCTGCAAATGCTTTACATGATTGCCAACCATTCTGAAAACCATACCATGACATCTATCTATCTATCTATCTATCTATCTATCTATCTATCTATCTATCTATCTATCTATCTATCTATCTATCTATCTATCTATCTATCTATCTATCTATCTATCTATCTATCTATCACTTGCTTGAGATAACAAAACCTATATATAGCTTGCTGCTTGATGGTGAAGTCAAGGATGACTCCAACTACGACTATGAAATAGAAACATAATAGACATATCCCTCATAAGGAAATGAGAAATTTTGTTTGCTGTTCAGAAACTGACTTCCAGATCTCTGATGTCAGAGCTGGTCTTGAGCTTTGGGAAGTGACCGAAAGTATGATCAGGATCAGGAATACAAGCGACTGAAATGAGCTTTCCCTGCAGGGTGGCTACACTCAGCCTTAGAGATAGGATAGGGGGATCAGAAACCCGGAGGGAGCTTCGAGTAGAGCCTCTTCTCCTTTGCATCGAAAGGAGTCAGTTGAGGTGGTTCGGGCAACTGATCAGGATGCCTCCAGGCAAGTCCAACTAGTAGACCCAGAATACATTGGAGAGATTATAGATCTCATCTGGCTTGGGAATCAGAATCAGAATCAGAATCAGAATCGGGTTTATTGCCATGTACGTTTTTACACACAGAAGGAATTTGCCTTGGTGCATTGGTGCATAAAAATCATACAAAATTTGCAAACAAAACAAGAAAAAACAATGCGCACCAACACACCGAGGCGGCCGTTCGTGGCGCCATCTTGAATGATAATGCCTCTGAATGCCTCTGGATCCTGCAGGAGGAGTTGGAAAACACAACTGGGGAGAGGGACGTCTGGACTACCACGTTCAGCCTGCTGCAGTGGATAGACGGAGATGTTGGAGCCATGTTACATCGAGACGGACTTATTTAAACTGTCCCTTTTGCAACAGCATAAGCCAGGCAAAAGATTAAACAGAATTACTGAAGGAAAAACAATAATTGACTATCAGGTAGAAAATTAATCTTGAAACGTATTTAAAACATTTTTTAATCAATGCAATTTGGATTTATAATTTTTAATTAAAACGTGTACATCCTTTGCAATCTGTCATCGAAAAGTATACAAAAGTGTAATCACACCACCAGAATTTAAAAC